AGTGTCTTTATGAGAATGTAAGTGTTTTCTGGGTTATCATAATTCTGAATGGGTGTTTTTGTTTTATGGAAGATTGCTTTCTTTTATATAAACAATTTTCTTCAAAAGCAAGGCAGTAATTTGGGTATTGGGTGCAGGTAGGTTTATGATTCATTCATAAACCAAATATCCTTCAAAGTGGTAGAGAATTATGTAATTTTTTTTTCAGAAGGAAGGAAGTTTCAAGGCCCCATGTATCTTGAATCTCTGATATTAGAAAGACTTTTGTTTCCCTTCTCTCAAAGATAATCTCTTCTTTTAAAGACAAGATAAAGTCTACTGAGCTACCCATGACCCAACATTTGGAAACCACTGTTTCACGTATTTTCCCATTTTTTTAGTCATTTAATTGAGACGGTAAATCTATTCCCTCTTATTTGTGCTCTATAATTTTATAATTCCTGTTTTATTTTATAATTTCCTGTTCTTTCAATGAAAATGTCTGTGAAACAGCTTTATCTCTTTGAAAATATTAAGTCCACTTTCCTAGATATTTCAGATCGACTATTTTTACTTAGTTGAATGTTAATCCTCATTTTTGTAAAAATCTATTGGGTGTTTTTTAGATGAAGTTTTCTTGTGTGGTTTAAAATTTTATTTTGAAAACTTTCCTGTGTGGATGTTTCTCTTTCTGCTTGTGTAAGCCTGTCCAAAGTCTTTACTATTATCTTCATTCGGATCTCAGGCTCTCTCATCAACATTATGGTGGCTTAGTTTTTCTCTCCTCAGTGATATTCAGGTCCTTACCTGGCACCTTTGTGCCCTCCTCTCCGCGGCTATGAAGCTGTATTTAAGTTATGGGAGAACTTGCAGCTACTTTCTGCCCTCCTCGCTGTCTCACGCTTAGGCCTGCTGAAGTCCCTTCATGTAGATGCCGTTTGCTCTGTGGGCTTTGGCTACAGGTGCCCTTGCTTCTTTTCAGAGTTGTGAACTTCCCAGGCCATTTCATGAAAAGCTTTAACACCTTATAATTCTATTTCATTTTTTAAAAAGTTTATGCTTTCAGGTGTGTGTGCTTGCCAGAGACAGAGACAGTGAGAGGGAAAGTGAGAAATCACTCCTCCAGGAGGGTTGGACATGCTGCAATCCCTTCTCCTCCATTGTCTTCCTGGGATTTTTGGGCACATATCACACACATGCGCCTGATGTGATTTTTCTCTTTCTTTTCTTTTTTTTCGGAGAGATTTTTGCTATAGGGCACACATGCTCGCCAGACAGACAGAGACAGAGAGACAGAAAGTGAGAAATCAGCACCTAGGGGGGATAGCCACACCACAATCTCTTTGCCTCCATTCTCCTCTCGGGATCTTGGGCATGCACAGACACGTGCCTGGTGTGAGTTTAAGCCACCGGGTCTGGGACTCAAACCACAGTCAACTACATAGGAGTCTAGCGACATAGCCATTGCCAACTGCTGGTCCTTCTGATGTGATTTTCAAGCTATCAGGTCTGGGACTTGAACTGCAGTTAACCATATGGGAGCTTAGCACTCTAACCACCATACCACCTGTTGATTCCCATGTTTTATTTCATTTTTTTTTTCTTTTTTTGGAGAGGGTTTTTGCTATAGGGCACGTGCGCTCGCCAGAACGACAGGGAGAGACAGAGCGCCAGAAAGCGAGAAATCACCCCTCTGGGGGGATGGCCACGCTGCAATCCCTTCTCCTCTATTCTCCTCTCGGGATCTTGGGCATGCACAGACACGTGCCTGGTGTGAGTTTAAGCCGCTGGGTCTGGGACTCGAACCACAGTCAACTACATGGGAGTCTAGCGACATAGCCATTATGCTAACTGCTGGTCCTTCATTTCATTTTTGATCATGGCTATATGTTTTCAAATATTAGGTTGTAAGGAAAGTCATGATGCATTTTTGCATGGAAATTATGTTTAGGTTAATGGGCAGAGTGGATGGATTTAAACCATGAATTCAATACAGGACCTCATGTGTTGCTTTTGTGGGGTTACTAAAAATTCAGATGTTAGATGCTAAAGCACTATGCTGAATTATATAATATCATGATAATGACATTCTTTCAGCCCAGCAATATAGATAAATGAATTGTGTCAAATTTTGCAAATCATAGGGTGATTTATTTTCTATAATTTTAATTATAGAAACCTTTGTAAAGCAAACTTACAACCAGTTTATCAATGCACATAGAAGTTATGAGGCATAGTTTTATTCTGTGACTGCTATTATTTGAAAGTCATATTAGTTACAAAATACTGTACAGCTCTATTATAATATTATTCAAATTACTACTCTAATTTTATGTATCGATTGACATATTAATTAATACCACAGTGTGAGACTTTAATACACTATAATTTTAAATTTTTTTTGTAACTTTGCTCCTTATGTTTTAAAGAGCATCATGGAGATAAAAAGTTTGATAAAGTAGAGCTGAAAGTTATATTAATTCTATTCTAGAATATTAAATTTGCCATGACCAAGTCACCTGATTTCAGACACCAGGACATTATGCCAGTATAATCTCTTCCGAAATATGACAGGATCAGCCAATGCAATTCTGGGGTGTATAAAGCTAAATTCTAATATTTATATGTCTTCATATTTGACTTCCCTTTTTACAAAAGCTTGCATTAATGTTGCGTGTTCCTGTGTGACAGGGCTATTTCGCACACTGGAACATCATCATGATTAATGCAAGTGTATCGCCTGAACAAGCTCACAGAATCAGGTCACGTGTGTGTTAGCCTGTGATATTACAGGTCATTGACCTGCTCCAATGCCAGTAAAAAATCCCCAGAATTAACATAATAATGGTGGTTAAACCTACTTAATATGCTTCGCACTCAGGAGGATCTCTCTTTTGTGCTAAGTATCTACATTTAAGTTTTATGCCCCTTCATTTAGAAGTTGGTAATAGAAATTGGTGTATTTTCCAGTGTTTACTTTAAAAGTGTGCTCTATCTAACAAGACTTCATGTTTTTTAGTAAGCTGTCAGTTTTTTAATTCTCCTATAGTACAGCCTATGTAGGCAGCGGATACTGAAATATCCTTTCATATTCAGAAATATGGAAGGAAAATGAAGAGGGTGCTCTTCTAATAACTGGTAAGTTATAACTGGATGAAATTTCTTTTAAGGTTTATTTTTTTTTGTTGAGAGAGAGGGAGAGAGACAAAGAGAGACGGCACCCTCAAATAGGGTTCTCATACAGTGATCCACCCCAGTTTCAGCCAGCCCTGGATCATGGCCTGTGTGTACCCAACGTGTTCAGGGTGGTACCATCCTATGCAGATCAGCCTTTCAGAGCACTGTGCTACCACGATGTCACCGTCCAGCTCCACAGATGAAGTTTTAACATTTGTTTATGGGGGATGGTAATACTACTTAAGCGTAGTCTAACAAAATATTCATGTTTACTATGAAGTCCACAGCATCACATAAGAAAAACAGAATGTATTTTTAAAATTATTTGATCCTATATATATTTTATTCTTTATTATTCTTGTTATAAGTTCCTCAGAAGGTAATGAAGAAAATCTTGATTTACCTTTTCAAAAATAATTATTTATTTAATTAAAAATTGCTATTATCATTTCTTTTTTTTTTTTTAAGAATTATTTTATTTATTTATTTATTTTGGGAGAGGTTTTTGCTATAGGGCGTGTGTGCTAGTCAGAAAGACAGAGAGAGACAGAGAGACAGAAAGTGAGAAATCTCCCCTCAGGGGGGATGACCATGCTGCAATTCCATCTCCTCCATTCTCCTCTTGGGGTCTTGGGCATGCACGCACACACGCCTGGCGTGAGTTTAAGCCACAGGGTCCGGGACTTGAATCGCGGTCGATTATGTGGGAGTTCAGCGCCAGCCATTACACTAACTGCTGGTCCCAAGAATTATTTTATTAAACTTTATTATTATTATTTCCCAGTTTAATCAGAGAGAGACAGAGAGAAAGAGGGCAAGTGAGAAAGCAAGCCACTACGTCCAGGACTTGAACTGCAGTAGGCCATGTAGGAGTTCAGTGCTTTTAACCACCGTGCCACTTGCTGACTCCTTATTATTATTTCTTAATTCGACCAGAGAGAGAGAGAGACAGACAGAGAGAGAGAGCGTGAGAAAGCAAGCTGCCAGATCTAGGACTTGAACCATGATTGGCCATGTGTGAGTCCAGAGCCTTAACCACCCTGCCACCTGCCAGCCCTAATCTTGATTTATTTTTAAAGTCATACAGTTATTTAATGGTGATATTGAATCTACCTGTGGAGACTCTTACAAGACAATGATCTATAATAATTAATGCAGAGCACACTACTGAGAAGCTAATTTCTTTCTAAGCTCAGATAATTTTAAATGCCCTGAAATGAATGTTTTAAAGTTACTGGGGCTGATGGAAACTATTTATATATATATTTTTTTTATTTTATTTTTTTGGTAAAGATTTTAATTTAAAAAACTTTTGGATTATTATGCTCAAAATTACCGAGGTTACCAAATTCAGATCTGAACACATGAAAATAAAATCTTTTTAGAATATAATATCAGACATAGGTTCCACAACCGAATAGCCAAGCTTTTTATTAAAAAAAAATTTTATTTCTTCTTCTTCTTCTTTTTAATTTGACCAGAGAGAGAGAGAGAGAGAGAGAGAGAGAGAAAGAGAGAAAGCAAGCTGGCGGCTTGAACTGCGGTCAGCCACGTTGGAGTCCAGCACTTTAATCTTCACCTCGGCCCCATTAACCAAGCTTTTAATAAAGACCACATCATGACTATATGTACCTGTATCACTCAAAAACATTTTCTCCAAAATATATTGACTTTCTGTCCTAACCATTATTAATTTTTCATAAGGTACAAATTACTTAAATCCCTTTCCATAATTTTCTTACCACTCTGGAGTGTATTTCTTTGGCATACAATGGGAATAAAAATTCTGATTCCCCTTCCAGGCGAAGTCCATCTTTTGTAACACCCAAGTGACCCATTCCTGTCTGTTGAAAAAATGAGACAGCAGAGGTTACTGTATTGTTGTATTGACTTGATATTAATATTTCCATTTCCTCCCACCTTTTTTTGTATTCCTCCTAGATCCCTTATTAACACTTGCTTTTATTTTTTACTAAATATTTTACTAAATCTTGTGTAAATGCAAGAGACTATTTAAAAAATACATGTAAGATTTAGAAAATACTTTTATAATAGACATCCAAGAGTCAACCACGTAAGACAAAAATCTTACCATTAGTATTAACTATTTTTTAAAAATAAAATACACTAAAATGGATTCTTTCAATGTGTATAGTTCTATGAGTTTCAATACATGTATACATTTGTATAATCAAAATACAATCAGGACACAACCTAGTTTTATCACCCTCAAAATACCCTTAAAAGCATGTCTAAGGTGTTAAGCATGTCATTTAGGTTCACTATATAGCAATTATTTATTAGGGACTTCTTAAGTGAAAAGCAATACAGGAGGATGTAGAGCTTTGTTTAAAGTGTCTATTCTCAAGGAGTTTACAGTCATGAGGGGTTACCAGAAGGGATTGAAACAAAATTCTGAAGGTCACCAGTGACCTCCATGGTATTTAGTCTTGTGGGCATTTTCAACTACATTTCCTTTGCATTCTCAGCAGCATTCAACACTGGACCTCTTCTTCCTTGGGACACTATCCTTCTTCGGTTTCCATGATACTGTACTCTCTTAGGTCTCCTCCCACTTCTGAAACCATAATCTCAAATTCGTTACAGGCTGATTCTTCACTAGTTTTGGACTGTTGTTTTTTCCAAGCTCAGTCGAAAGCCCTTTCCTGAATTCATTTTATAACATGACCTCCATTACTACTGCAGTACTGAAGAGTCATTCCTTTTTAAATTTTTTTAAGAGAGAAAATTTTGCTATAGAGTGTATGCACTTGCTAGAGAAACAGAGACGGACAGAGAGACAGAAAGCAAGAAGTCACCCCAACCCACCCCCAGGAGAGATGGCCGTATCACAATTCCTTCTCCTCTACTCTCTCCTCTTGGGATTTTGGGCACACATGCCCATGCACCTGACGTGAGTTTTAAGCCACTGGCTCCAGGATTCAAATCATGGTTGACTACGAGGGAGTCCAGTGATGTAGCCACTATGCCATCTGCTGGTCCCAATTTCTTTTCTATTGTGCTAAAATATACCTAAAATTTACCATCTTAGCATTTTTAAGCAAACAGTTTAGTGGTATTAAGTACATTCACACTGTTGTATACAATCACCACCACCGTCCAGCTCTAAGCTTCTTTTTATCTTTGTACCCATTAAAGATTAAGTACCCATTTTCCTCTCCTCCCAGCTCCTGGAAATAACCATTCCATCTTCTGTCTGTGAGTATGATCACTCTAGCCACTTCATATAAGTGGAATCATACAGTATTTGTCTTTTGGTGACTGGCTATTTCACTTAGCATAATGTCCTCCAGGTTCACACGTGTTGTACGTGTTTCAGAATTTTTTTTTCCTTTTAAACCCAAGTAATATTCCATTGTATGTATAAACCACATTTTGCTTATCCACTCATCCATCGATGGACACTTGGGTTGCTTCAATGTTTTAGCTATTGTGAAGTGATAATGTGAACCTGAGTGTACAAATATATCTGAAACCCTGCTTTCAACTCTTTTTTATACATGTTCAGCAGTGGAATTGCTGGATCATGTGGTAAATTATATTTCGAATTTTTTGAAAAACCTTCATACTCTTTTCTATACTATGCATTTTATATTCCCACGAAGGGTTCCAGTTTCTCTACACCTTCACCAACGCTTGTTATTTCTTTTTTTTTTTTTGATAGTAGCCATTGCAATGGAAGACTTGTCCATTTTTATCTGTAGTTTATGTTCTCTCTTTTCATCTCTATATACAATTGCCTCCTTATACTCTTTTGAATGTCTTGAAAGCACCTAAATTCAACAAAACTTGATTTTCTCTTCTCTTCTCCCACAATAGAAGGGACTGTAGGGAAGGGGGAGGAGAACAAAGCAGTTTGAAAAATAAAGCCATTTTGGAATGTTTTATACAGTGACTGGGTAATTTCCAGGATAGAGACAGGTTACTTTTGAACCCAAAGTTCATGTTCTATGCCATAGACTTCTTTTGAGTACTCCTTCTGTTGACAAACCCCATTTACAAGAAACAAATACTGTGTGTGATTTTCTATCCATGAACTACCATTTCGGTAGTCTTTTCAATAGGAGAAGTGGTGTTAGCGCTGTCCTGCTGGGTGCAAGCCCCCTTCCACTGAGACAGACAAGCACTTCTGAGTCTCTTTACACATTGTATTCAGTGGATGGTTTTGCTTAAAGAAGGACTCACAGTCTAAAAAAATGTGACTACTACTTTTTGAAAGTTCTTATGGGATCTAATTGGGTATTTATAAAGCATCATTTGTGAAATTAAACCAACATTACAAATATAAAATTCTTCACGTATGAATAATTAGCCATTTTTTAAGCAAATATTTCCACTAGAAATCTTATATTCTAGAGTTAACCTGAAATTTAAAGGTAATAAATTCCAATTCAAAAATCGGCTTTGAATGTCTGGGTTCAAGTGAACAGATGCCAATATTTTTTCTAGACTCTATGGTTACATTAGAAGAAAAACGTAAAGCTCATCCTAGCCTCTGAAGTAACTAATTTACATGACCAGATTTCCAAAATGGATTGCTCATCATTATGTCTCACTTCCTTCATTACATATATGAAAAAGATGACCCAAGTCTACTTTCACCTGTGGTATTTATGGTGGTTAATTGTGACTCTTGAGAGTGAAGCATGGCTCGCTCTTGGGTGTGTCTGTGAGTGCTGGCAGACAAGACTGGCATGTGAGTCAGGGGACTGAGAGAGGAAGATGCCCCTCCCATGTAGGTGGGCACCATCCAATTGGCCAGGGGCAGGAGGGACAAACAGAGGAAGTGGAGGATTATGTCTCCTTTCTTGACCCTTCTTTCTGGGGAGTGCTGGGTGCTCCACTCCTGACACTAAAACACCTGCCTGTTCATCCTGACTCAGACACTTGGCCCTTGGCTGCAGACTCCAAGTTCTTTAACTTTCCAACTCTGGACCAGCAGCTTCTTGAAAGCCCTGATCAGGACTTTGGTCTCAGACTGTGACATGCACCATTGACTTCCTTGCTTGAGTCTTCCAGCTATTTCTCCAGCTTGCAGACAGCTTTATTATTATTATTATTATTATTATTATTATTATTATTATTTTAGAGAGATTTTTGCTATAGGGCATGAGCATTTGCCAGAGAGACAGACAGAAAGTGAGAAATCACTTCCCCTCAGGGGGCATAGCCATGCTGCAATCCCTTCTCCTTTCTTCTCTCTAGATTTTTGGCATGCATGCACATGCACCTGGTGTGAGTTTAAAGCCACCAGGAATCAAACAATGGCTGACTATGTGGGAATCCAGCGATGTAACCATTATGTATGTCATCTGCTGGTCCCAGCAAACAGCCTATTGTGAGATTTCTTACCTTGGGATTGTGTGAGCTAATGCCTAAAATAAATCACCTCTTTCATACATATTTATCTTATTGGTCCTGTTTTTCTGGAATAGTATACAGTATTACTTGATTTTAATAAAATGAATTTACATCTTTCTGCAAACGACAAAACGCCATATAATATTGGAGAACAAAAGAATATGCTCATCTTTCATTACTTTCTTTCTTATTGATTTGGGTCATCAGAAAAGTCATGATGTATTTTTTTTCTGTTTTTTTTTTTCCTATGCAAAAATGCATCATGACTTTTTTGATGACTCAATATATATTTTTAATTGGCAGAGAGTATGTATGCTTGCCAGAGAGAGACAGAAGTACAGAGAGAAAGAGAGAGAGGGGGAGAAAATATTTTTCAATGGGGCACGGTCATGCCACAATCCGTTCTCCATTGCTTCATCCTGTTAGGATTTTGAACACACATGCACACATGCTTGACACGTTTTATGAGCTACTGCGGCTGGGACTCAAACTATGTTTGAGAACCATATGGGATTCGGCTCTCATAACTACTAGGCTATTGGACTGGCCTGTTTATTCATTTAAAAGGTCAGATATAGAGGCCAGCAGGTGTAGTGGTTAAGGCACTGGACTCTCATATGGTCGACCTCAGTTCAATTTCTGGACCTGGAGGCTTGAAACTCATGTTGGGTGTGTGTGTGTGTGTGTGTGTGCATGTCCAAAAAAATCCTGAGAGGAGAGAGAATGGAGGAGAAAGGATTATGGTGTGGCCATTCTCCTGGGGTGATTTCTCACTTTCTCTTTCTCTCTCTCCAGTGAGTGTATGCACCCCATAGCAAAAGTTTCTCTGGAAAAAAATGTCAGATATATTGAGGTAAACTTTACAAATGAAAAAATTTACCATGAATAAAATTTCATAAAATAAAATTTAGTAAATAAAATTTCACTGAAAGGTTAACATTTTTTGTGAGCTATTACGAGCTTATATAGTCATTCAGCTACCAACACAGTCGAGATATAGAACAATTCTACCTTTAATACAAAAAAAGGCCTTTTCCCTTCTTTTCCTTTTTTTTTTTTTGAAGAGGTTTTTGCCATAGGGCGCATGTGCTCACCAGAAAGACAGAGAAAGACAGAGAGACAGAAAGTGAGAAATCACCCCCAGGGGGGATGGCCACACCGCAATCCCTTCTCCTGCATTCTCCTCTCGGGATCTTGGGCACGCACACACACGCACTAGGCATGAGTTTAAGCCACCAGGTCCGGGACTTCCACAGTCAGCTACGTGGAAGTTCAGCGACATAGCCATGATGCTAACTGCTGGTTCCAAAGGCCTTTGCCCTTCTACAATCAACTCTTCCCCCTATTGTTCCCCTTCCTTGGTAGCCATGGGTCTGATTTCTGTTCTTATATTTTTGCCTATTCCAGAATACAATATGAATGGATTCTCACAGTAGTCTTTCCAGATTTTTTCCACTAGAAT